TGCAAAAGTGACTGCCCATCCTCTTGACCTGTCATGCTAGTGGCTAAATTGGTTGAGGGTGTTTGGCCCCTTGACCGACATAGTTGTGTTTTGTTTAAATGTGACAGAAGTGGTTTCAATGGAAAAAGAGGCTGTGAAGAGAGAAATTTGTTTTTACATAGTTCCATTATGTTGTGATAATTAAGCCTGGTCCGATTATATCCTGAATGTAGCTGCTTTGATTTTTAGTAGCGGTTGATTTCAATAGCTAAGTAGTAAAACATATACACACGTTTCATACATTTCAAATGATCTCAATGACCTTGATGAATCTACTACTGATTAAAGAGGTAGAATTTTCTACAGGTATACAGTGATAAACCAGTTCAAGCCCTGAATTGTTTCTGCTCTGAATGTTTTGATTAGATTCAAACTGTTACAGATGTTCTGTTTTATTTGAGGATTCGCTCTTGTTGTACCAAACATAGCAGCTGTGGACTATGGAGCCCAATTTATAAAGTGGTGGTAAAACGTAGCTCTGTACCACTCCACATATATAACTTTATTTCAGTTTCATTGCTGTCTGGACAGCACACAGTAAAGTAGATTAAACAAAGTGGCACTGATGGGTGTTAGAAATGTGATTTGTGAAAGTCTTTCTTTACCCCATGTGAGCCAGATGGTGCCCTGAGGTCAACAGGCAGCCCCCAGTCAGCTGTTCAAATTGAGATTAAACACAAGAGGTGATCAGTGCTATGCCATGAGGGGTCCCTGACACCAGAACAGTTTGTCTGAGGCAAAATGTTCTTATGTTTTCTTTTAGTAATCACCTTCTTTACCATAAAAGATTTACATAATTGATCTTTATTTCCAGCCATGCTGTCAACTTGCTGAATAACTTGCCTGTGTCCTGCCTGGATGTGTTAATCGACATACCTGTCCAGGGAGGACTAGAGAAATATAACGGGAAAAACATGGATGCAGTCCAGGTTTTACTAGACTTCATGGAGAAAAGGATCGACAAGGTAAAGTTCATCTTTTACAGGGAATGCAGAGAGGACTGTATTTCAAACTGAAAGATTGCTGATCACTTTCCCAGCATACATTTTAATGTGTTGTGCTGTTCATGGGTAACCTATAGTTAAATAGATGTAGTTTAACTTTGATATGTCCTAAAAACTTGTAAGAATGAATAAATACAGTACATTATAATGGTACTGGCGGAGTGCATTTTCCTGTTACTATTCTTCATAGTACCCATACGTCTATTACTGGTTGACATCTATCCTTTGTGGTCTGTCACTATAAATAGGGCTCCAACTACAAAGAGGGGCTCACTCCCGTGCTCAGCCTTTTGACTGAAGGATCCAGACACCACAGAGAGATCCGCAGATATATCAAAGCTCAGGTACAGTAGCTGCCACCAGATTAAAATAAAGTAGGTGGCATTTTGGTGCCCTAAAATGTCACAAAAGTACTGAACCTTCACCATGATGCTAATGTGATTTTAATTACTGGCTATTTAATAACGTGTGTTCATTAGCCAGAGACTTCGTTTGACAGCTTGGTTATAGTGACAAAAAAAAACAAAAAACCCAATAACCGGATCTTTTCATCTTCAGGTACTTCCCCCACTGAAAGATGTGAAGATCAGGCCAGAGGTCGGCACCGCCATCAGAAACAAATTGGTTCGTCTTATGACACATGTCGACACGGGCGTGAAGCAGACTGCTGCAGAGTTTCTTTTTGTCCTCTGTAAAGAGAATGGTGAGCAGGGGACAGCAGCACATCAGATGAGTGACAGAGCAGCAATGATGTCTGTATATGGGTGCAGTCATTGGAATAGTGCATTTCCAAATGCATGACTCCTGCATAACTGAAATTGCTTTATATGTAACATCCACCCTTGTGTGGTTTCATTGTCTAGTGGACAGCTTGTTGAAGTACACAGGATATGGAAATGCAGCAGGACTCCTGGTGGCTCGGGGCCTTCTGGGAGGAGGGAGAGGAGAAACTCAGTACTCCGACGATGAAGACTCAGACACAGAGGAATACAAATCTGCCAAACCTTTGTGAGTACGCAGCAGAGCGCTTAAAATAAAGCACTGACAATCTGATCTCAACTTGTTAAATAAAAGTGTATGTATTGATAGCATATTAATCCATTTCACAGCTGTACAATAAACTTGTTCATCTTCTTGTTCCAGCATCAACCCCATCACTGGTCACGTGGAGGAGCCGATGCCAAACCCCATCGAAGAGATGACCGAGGAGCAGAAGGAGTACGAGGCCCAGAAACTGGTCAATATGCTTGACAGGCTATCAAGGTAAATATCCCTCTGCTAGAGATCATAATCTTATTTTAATAGTAGAAAATACTCTAAAATTTGCAAACACAAAGGGCTGTGTTTGTAGGGGCAGAAGGCTTAATAAATCTCTTCCCATACAGATTTCTGGATTCAGATAAACACCAAAATGATCATTTGTTCTAGGGTCACTGGCCTAAGGCTACACAAAATGTTCACAGAAATAGATTTTTTTTTTTTTTTTTGGTACTGTATGTAACACAAGGTCGTATCCAGTATTAAGGATGTGTTGATATAGGATAGTAGATGGCACCTGTGTGAAATGAAAAATTAACTCCAAAGAACAATTTGAAAGGTTTTCTGCTAAGAAAGACATTACAGAATTCTTTGACAGTTGTTTTCTCTGCAAAGGTTCAACTAAGATTAACTTTGTTTCTTTGAACACCTGTTCCTTCCCCTGTTCAAATGATTCATATTATGTTGTTCCCTCTGCAAAGAGCCATTCTGTATTTATGTTGACCTTTCCTTAGAGAGCAGAGGCTAAGAATAGTCAAGTGCAATGCCTGTACAAAGGTAACAGTGAGCGCACTCCCTGCCAACTGATTCATCAAAGGAAGAATCTCTTTGCGTTAGCTGCCGCTTCAATTAGGCCCGGACTTCCAGCACGTCGCAGCATTCAGCTGGGATAAATAGAAGCCGCCGGCACGCCGCAGCAGAATCATTACCACCGCTCCATTAATTATCACCTAATTGGCACACAGAGTCGGTTTGTCAGTCCTGTTCTTTTATGTGCTGCATTCAGGTTTTTAATAACAAATGTCCTGACTTTATTCTTATCATTCTGAGGAGCCAATCATTGGCCAGACAGAGAGAGGACTCAGAGAGAGGCACAAGTAGACAAAGCACTTTGGGTAGAACATAGGCGAAGAGGAGACACGGGTGAATAAATGTACAGACATAAGAAAGCTGACCCTGTCATTGTTGAGCCAAAGAGGGGGCTGAGCTGTAATGAGGCACATGTGGCCAGAAGAAGATTCCTTTCTGAGGCTGCAGCCTCTTTCTTCACTTCTTCAGTGAAGGCAGTGTGGTGATGACAGAGGGGTGCTTCCTCACTACAGGCTCTAAGGAGATCAGTCAGAGACCCACAAGAATGTGCTCTGCTAACTGCTTAACTGGTCCTCCAATTAGTACATATTCTGCACCCCCACCCAGCACCAACCCTCCGTACATCTGCCAGATCTGTCCTGTGTTACTGCTGAGAAGAAGAGAAGATTGTATTGCGCTAACTGGGAAAGAAGGTGGTACATGTTTTTGTCTCGTTAGTCCTCATTATAGCTGCCGACTATAAGGCTGGGGCCTGGTGGTGCCTCTGCGCAGGCTTCATCGGTGAAAAGATAGGAAGGCTACAATGTTTTCATCTGTAACCACCCCTCAATTCTTCTCCATCTTATTCAGATAACCTAACTAGTTCTCCAAGAACAAGTTCTATAAAATTGTAGAAATATGCTCATTTATATTGAATCTTTCAAATGTCTTTTTTTTTTTTTTTATCTGTAATGGATAGTTCTCAGATAAATCATCATAGAGGGAGGGGTGACACACAGTGCAGGTATAATTGGATTAGGATGAAGGAGCAGCCGTGGCTTTGAGGAGATTAGTCTGAGCGCTGATCCTATAATTAAACTACCACAGGAGAAAAGGGTCGAGTGGGAAAGAGGATGACCAGACAGGCGAGTGTCCATGAAGAGGAAATGTGTGTGTGTGGCAGGCGTGGGGGGTATTGTCGACTGAAGGTCCTTGAGTTCTGGATATAAGAGAGTAAAGATGTAACAGTGAAAGGTCCTCGTTAAGACCACTGACACAAAGGGTCCTGACCAGATTTGGGTTTTGGCTGCAGATAGTTTACTTTGAATACAAGAAGACAGTTGGGTCCATTTATGTTTGTACGTCTTTGTGTACGCAGGCAGAGCGTGATTCGGCCCATGGGCGTCAGACCAGATGGGACATTAGCACCACTTGAAGAAACTCTCTATGATCTACCTGAGGACGACTTGGGATCTGACTCTGACTAGTGCTCTGTACATCGAGGCCACATTTCCCAGACTAAGGCCACCACGTCCCAGCACATTTAAAGCCGTGTCCCATTTCAAGGGCTGGATCCTTTGAAGGATGGTACCCATGAAAGTGGGTCCTTCTGAGGAGCCTAAAGTTGTCTGAAACTGAAATCCACATAAGAAGGTACAGTCACAGAAACAGTGTAGAGCCGGCTCTAAAAAAAAACATTTTATAGGTGCTGGATCACAAAGCAAAGTAGCAGACAACACATCCACATGCTATACTGATAGTTCCCTCTAAATTACCAACTACATTGACTGGTAGCACAGACCTTTGACATCAAAACCCTAAACGCAGGTGGATTTAGGCTCCCCTGCTCAGTTTGTTTATCACCTGGAAGTTGCTTTAAATTGGCTGAAAATTCAGGGACAAATGTTTTGATACCAGAGTTAGCATTGCACTAAGTTCTAAGGTTAAATAGAAACAGTCTTTTAACCCATCTGTAGGTTTATGACTGGCATCAGTTATTCACACCTGGCAGTTTAAATGATTGTGTTCACTCTACATATTTACTAGTGACTGATGACCACCGGAGTGCAAATACACATGTTGTACTTACGTGATAGTTTGCCTTTTCTGAAAGTGACGTGGTTTAATTTATCACGCATTAGACAACTGACCGGTGTGCAGTGGCTTGTGGGATATTGAGGGCTCTGAAAAATACACTCAAAAGGAAGGCGATAGTGAAACAAGGAAAGGTTGTTTTCTCAGTATCATTTTAAATGGTGCAGGTCCAGTCAGCCCATTATGATATACCGAGTCTACGGAACGTGACTTCTGATGATCCAGCCCTGACGTGGGACACAGGAGACTTTTAGGGGCCCTGTCGCTGCTCTAAACTATTCTGGCAGTGGTATCATAATGCATAGGAGGCCACTATGCTCACTGTTGCACCTTCATTTATTTTACAGCTCCCTAATTTAAGACGATCACAGTAATTTTGCTGTATCACACATTTTTCACTGAAAACTTTGTGCTGTTGGGTCTGAATCATTCCTTCATATCTTTGTTTTACACTTTTTGTCCACTGTGTTTCTAGATTATTCAAGTGCATATTATATACACATATTTAACAACAAGAGTACACAAAACTGCCAACAGTGAACCTTCTCTTTGTTTTAAAGTCAGGGGGCCTCTCTCTAGGCATTTACAAAATCACACAGCAATTTAAATGTGCACTTAACACTAAGTCTATATTTGGTTGTGTAATTATCATGAATGTTGCACACCAGTTCATTGCCAAGGAAACTTTCTGAATTCAGGGCTTGTCAGATTACATTTGTGCCACTGAAAGCTTCCTCTTTTCATTTAAAATTTTGACTGACTTCTGCAAGAGCTGCCAACATTTTCCTGGTGAATTATAGTAACGTTTTCTGTTTTGTGGACTCTTGACAAAGAGTTGTGCAAAATCAGCTGATTTCTCTAATTGTTACTTTTGCCAAATCTGCACGTTTAGTCAGTCTTCAGTAGTGTGGGTTTTTTCTAGATTGAAAATGTTGCTAATTTTATACAAACCCCTGTGCCGAGTATGGATTTTGTGTTGGTACAACTTCATGTGAAAAGCTGCCAGTTGTGAAGTCAGCTGGATGGTTGGAGACGAGATTTGACTTCTTAACTGAAATAATGTTTTGAATCACTAAGTCCTTTTTTTTGTCAATTACAATCTGAGTATGTGTTGTTACAGGATCTGGTGACTTGACTTATCTAATAGTGAATAACTACAAGCACACTTTTCATCTGACCTGTGAATCACCACTACTTCCTGTTCACAGTTTTTAATAATGCAGATAAATCCCAGGAATATTTAAATGATCAAGCGTTGGCTTCACAGAAACTTTAAAGACCTGACTAAACATTTAAAGCCACTTAACTGTTTTTGCTGTTTGGAGAGCCATGAAACATCAGACATTCAGATCAAATTAAAAGGAATACAATCAAAGTGAAAATGTTGGATCACTATGAGCTGCCAGAACGGTTTCAGTGCTCCTTGCTATAAGGATCAGAAATTATGGGCTAAAGAATAAGATTCACAAAATGTCATGCTTCTCACACCCTTTTACCCATTTTAACTGATCATGCATCTGTAGATTTGTGTCCTGTGTACAAACCTTTTCTTCCACAGTCATCATGGGATACATTTAAATTGCATGTAGATCCCCTCAGCATCTTGGCAGAATGTTATAGAAATAATTGTTCTTTTTGCACAGTCTTTACATACTGTAAATAACTACACATTGTATGTAGTGAGGCTTCCGCTGAAAATCTAATAAACTGTAAAAGAATATTTGTCGTTTTTGTACAAAACAATCTTTAAAAAGGAGAAAAAGATGCAAATCACATTACTTTTATTAAATACCGTTTAAAATCCATTGGTGTGCGGATATAAAACTACTTGTTACTGTCATACTAGAACACAAACATAGCGCTCAGACATTTAGTAGTGCTCTGGATGGACGCCCATCCATAAGTGCTTTAAATGTGGCTGTTGAACTTCATAAACCTTTAGATTTGTACACAGCATAGCATGGGCATCACATAACCTGATGGGAAATCACAATGTGTGTACAATTAGAGAACAGTCTTCTTCTGAACTAAACAGTGAGGGACCTTTGTTCCAGCCTTTCCAGTGTCACCTTTATGTAGCAGTCAGTTGCTCAGGCTGGATGACTCCGAGCTCCTGCTGTCTGCCTCTGAGTCCGTTTCCTCACTGCCACTGCTGGCTGCTCCTTGAGCTCCCGGTCCTGATCTGGATGTCTGCATCCCATCTTGAGGCTCTGAAGATCCTCTGCTCTGGCAAGGCATCTGTTTGCTCACTGCTTGAGGACTGCTTATCAAAGGAGGGATGCTCTGCAGAAAGGGAAGTCACTTCCATAGTCAGCAAAAAAGTGTTTTAAAATAGCTGCAACTTAAAAGTATCTCCACAGGTTTGGGTTTGCTCATCAGAGCTGTTTCTGATTTTCACCACGGTAACATTGGTTTAAGAAAGAAGCCATACAGAGACTTTCCTCACTTGCAAGAGCTTTTTTTAAGATGAAACCCACCCCTGTTTCCTGACTCCTCATCAGTTCTTCTATCTCGTCGTTCCAACCAAGCATGTCGGCAAACCTCCGGACTGTATCCTCCAGGTTGCCCAACTCCACATGGTCTACTCTCCTTAGTGGGACCTTCTGGAAGGGACCCACAGCGTGTCGGTTCAGGAGGAGACGTGGCACAGTGGAGCGCACCGTATTCACCAGGCTGGCAAATGGCTCGATCTGAAATAGATAATTTTTTTTTTTTATGTACAAGAAACTCATTTGTACAAAGTAAAGATGTTACAAATGCTAATGTTTACCTGTAAAGATGTGCCCATAATAATTAACAGGTCTGCTTTGGGGAAGTCTTTTGTGTGGAGGAAATACTTCTGAGGAAGGTCCTCTCCAAAAAACACAACATCAGGTTTGACTGTCGCAGCACAGAATGTGCATATGGGGACACCGTCATTCATGATGGCATGCTGTGAAACAAACATGCAAGAACTGTTACTCTGGCATCAAGTGCAGGGAGGTACTGTGTGATGGCTGACTGGTTTCTGACCACAGAGCCAGAGATACCTTAGCCTCCTCAGCAGGGTACGGAGTGTAGCACAAGTGACAGGAAGCCGTGGCAAAACTACCGTGAGCTTCCACGAGTTTGTCATCTGGGATGCCACACACTGTGAAGAAGGTTATTAAATGGGCATTATGATTGAATCTGGACAAGAAACAGACTGACACTGTTAAGCAAGATGAAAACCAGGCAACAGCGCAAACTCCACAGCTACTGGCTAGTAAAGCCAAAGATCCAGTATTGTCTCCTGGTGGTGCATTCAAGGACACACAGTAAATACGAATTGTGTGTCCATCAAAGACGGTGCATCTCCAGGCATTGATGTGTGAAGGGCAACATTTCTGCACTCCACATGTCAGCTTGCCATACAAAAAGGAAAGAAACTGGCTTTTAATCTTTGTGAGAATCTTAACTACAATAGGAAAGTTAATCCTTTAACTGAAAACCTAAATCATGAGATACTGTACATGAGTTTCACAAGGACCTAATTGGCTTCCAAAAATCAGTGCACAGATCTACTGTTAAAAAATATATCCACAGATTTTGTCATTAAAAAGATATTCAGCAGCTGACTAAGTCTGATGTTGATGCTCTCTCTCCCTGCAGGCAGCTGTGTCGCTATGTAATGAAAACCTTTACATAAAATGAAGACAAGCTTTATGATTCAGTCTCTTTAAGTCAAGTTTGTATTTTGTGCTAACAATAATGGAAACCAATGGCTGCCTGGAAGGTAAGGGGTTAACTAATCAACAAACTTATTGTATGTTTTGAAAAACATCAGCAGTAATGAAAAATACAGGTTTTTATGAATGGGCCAACAAATAAAAACAAGTGTCCCAGGATGGAGGAGCACAGGGACGAAGGTTTTGTAACCAGTGGTGAAATATGTCATTTTCAGGTGGTTCTTTCAAGTTTATTTCTATTTTCAGTTTTTTTGTGTTTATTTACATATATACACTGTATGTAAAGCTGGTGGTTCAAAAATAAGATAACCGGTACACATTTGGATTTAAACTTAGCGTAACTTAGCATACTTTTTACTTTGTAATGGGACAAAACTGTCAACTCACTATTTCATTTAAAGATCTACTGCAGCTGTTTTTAAATTGGTTTCCATTATGATCACACTCACATTTCTCTAGTCCATCAATGTTCTGTGTGTACATTCGAAGCAGCAGGCCTTTGTGATGAAGCGTGCGGATGAAGTAGTGTATGTAGTTGGGTCGGTGGCTGCCAGGATACAGAGCCTTGGCCAGGGAGAAGAAAGGCTGCGGGTTGTCGGAGAAGTAGTCAATATTGAAAATGGCTTCTGGATAAGGAATGTTGTACTTCTCTAGATTGGCATAGAGACCTGTTCCTGGAGTTCTGAAAAAAGTGTGGGAAGCAGGAGAAAAAAGTATCTTAGTTATAAAACTGTTTAAGGGTTTCAACTAAACCACTAGACAGGTTTAGAGTGAAGCACAATGGAAGGGCACGAGAAGAAAATAGTAAAGTGTTGAGAGAATTAAGCCATAGGAACAACAACCTGAAGTCTGGAATGCCGCTGGCTGTGCTGATTCCTGCTCCAGCCACCACCAGCACGTTCTTACAGTGGCCGAGCTTCACCAGCTGTGCCACAGAGGCAAGCCCGCCCTGAGGTGATGCCTTAGCAGCAGTTTCAGATGGACTGCACTGAGCAGATCTGGACCCAGAGGACTGATGAACCTGCAGAGGGTCACTGCTACCTTCGGACATCTTTCCTTTCCTGGAGAGCAGGCTGAGAAGAGACAGACACCTCTCAGGTGCTCTTTCTTCTCTTTGAATAATCTGACACCATATGGAACCGTCACCAACATGATATTCTGCTCTACTTTATGTTTATGACTATTTATCAAATACTTACATGCTAAAATCCTCAGTGTAGATGGTGAAAACACCCAGCTCTCCAGCTCAGTCTGCTACAGTACTGAGACATACTGTATGTCTCTTGACTATCGCACATTAAGACAGTTACAGTAGGTTTATTTCAGAATCTGGGTCCATGTTCCAATATAAGTATTGGACCACTCCAGCCAAGCCATGTTCATGTATATACAAATGCATGTATACAGTATATGGGCATGTACTGTGCACATGTCTACTTACTTAATGTGTTCATACATTTTCAAAAATAAAGTTAAGCCCAAAGCTCTCACCTTGTAGGTAAGACATCCTGTTTATTCACACTCATCTGGCTGAGGTCCTGGGCCAGACCGGAGTCGGCCTGCTTCCTGCGTTGTTTTCCATTCGGGCCCTGCCCTGAATCCTGGAACTCTGCAGGGTTGGCGTGTGCGGCCTGGGAGCTACGGGTTATTCTGGTGACTGGATGCTGCGTTTTTTTTTTATCCCAACTGGACCTGGACCTGTTCATTCCAACACCTGCTGACAGGAAGGAGGAAAAAAAAACCCAACACTAAATGTTCAGCATAAATAAACAGGCTCATAAACCAGTTTGATGTGATTTTTACCTGTGTGCTTGCTTTAGTTTTAACCATCTTTTTCTGTTCATTTTGCACAAAGAGAAGTTTAAGCATTTTAAAACTGTCAACTATTGAACAAAAGGTAATGGCCGCAATATATTTAGCAACCCCCACTTCTGCTTCTCAGCAGCTATGCTAATACAGTCCACAGCTGTGGCAGCTTTACTGTTCAGGGCAAATGGAGGGTAGAGCTAAGAGGGGTGTGGGGTGTATGTGTGTGTGTGGGTGGGTGGGGGTTAAAAAGAGGGGTAGCAGAGGTGAAACAGAACTGTAGATTGACTGTGTGTCAACAAACCCAGCTGGGAGAGAAAAGAGGATGCCCCCTAATGGCCCCCTCAAAAGAAGAGAGGGGGTGTGCAGAGATAAATGATACAGAGGCGGGATTCAATAAAGAAGGAGCAGAAGAAGAGGAGCGCAAGCGGAGGAGGGGGCTTCTTTTACCAAAGCTATTCTAGGCCTTCAAACAACTTCCATAAGGAATGAGTGTGAGTGATTAGGGAGAGGCAGCGGACAAGGAAACAAAAGAGCTACAACCCATAAAACATGGCTGCTTCAGAGGGCAGCACCGAGATAAGACCAACTATGCTCAAGCAGCACCTTATCGCCCTCCGGAGGAGAGGGGTTACTGCAGGTTTACAGAGCTGCAGCACGCCCAGAAAATAACAGCCTTTGGCATCACAAATGATGAGACAATGTAGCGTCTGAGGTTTTCTTTAATGTACGTTAACATTTAAAGAAAACTAGGTGTGAACAAGCTTAAAACTGGTGTAAATGTCAGTTCCTAGAATTTGAAGAAAACTTTCTGAACCATCTTAAAAAAAAAAAAAAAAAACATTCTCCAAACTACTCTGATTTTAGGCACTCAATCTTCTTTCACTTTGCCTCCTTAAAAGGGGAAGCCCCCACATTACTACTTCCCCCCCCCCCCCCTTTCCCAAGAACTATTAAAAACAGTGGGAGGATGAGGGTCTCTGCTTTTGTCTGGGCTGCTGTCAAAAAGACACTGCTGAGTACAGGCAATAAATCACCAGCCTAGTTATTAAAGTCTCACACAGATGGTGCAGTGCAACAGTAGACCCAGTGCATCAACACGATCAGACCCCTCTCTAACAGTGCAATCATATCTGGAAAGGCACACACGGTGGGGCATATTCCTCCTTTGACACTATGAAACTGCTAAATTAAAACAGACTCACTAGAAAAATGATAAACTTGATCATGGGAGCTCATCTAGAGACGTAGAGGGAGTGGCATGTTGACAGGTCGCAAAGGGTCAATACAAAGCAGAAATCTTGACAAAATGAAGGAACCTTCAGCAACAACCTACTGCAACAGAAGAGGTTCACAAAAGTGACTTTTTTTAGATCACACTTCCTTTAGGTGTTTTTGATTCCTTTTTTTAACCTGATAATGACCTAACTGTGCCACAAATGCTGTTATTATTCTTTAACAATAAATGGTTCTGCTTCTTCATACTTTTATTTCACTACATTTCAGAGGTAAATATTGTACTTTACTCCACTACATTTGATAACTTGATTACTTTATAGATTAATAGTAATACAGACTAGTCACAAGCCCTGCAGTGTTTGTAAAATAATTCAAATTATAATTGCAGCAGATTCAAAACAGCACATTAGGTTTAAAATTAGCTCCACCTTTACCAGCTCCAACATCAGAGATAAATACAATTATGTATCAATGATTATAATCAAATACACTCACTACCAGTCAACAGTTTGGACACACTTTCTTATTGAATTGAATGGGATAACTGTAAAACTGGTACTGTAGTATAATGTACATCAATGATTTTAAAATGTGCATTTGTATAATGAGTACTTTTAATTTTGGTACTTCAAATATATTTTGATGCTAATACTTTTGAAGTTTCTTAAATCCTAAGGTGACATCATGAAATTCCTTAATTTGCCTGACCAAAACAGTCACAAAAAAAGATATTCAGATATTCAGTTTATAATAAAATAAAACTGAGGACAAGCAATCAATCTTCACATTTCAGAAACTGTAACCAAGAAATGTTTGGTATTTTTTTCCTTTGATATATAATTTCATTGATTAATCAAGTACTAAAATAGCTGTTGATAGATTTTTTAGGCACTTTTTTGTTCAAATAAAACAATCATTTCACCTGTGCATCAACAGGTCTGCCTATAAGAAAGTAAAGTAATCTGACATGTTAATCTTTACCCATAATATTTGTGAAAGAAAGTGTGTTTTCTGAGTTTCTGCATCAATTATTTGCTTAACCGTAACTAAAAAAGTGAACAAATAAAAAAACAAACATAAAAAAATCTGATCCTCGGTCACTGTCGCCAACAGCCTGGACCTGTGGATAATGTCACCGGAGAGCTGGGTGTTAAAAACCATGTCAGCTGTGTGTTAAAATAGACTTGGCTAAGTTTAATGAGGGGGCTTCTCCCCTGCAACCCCATCATTTAACCCTTCGCTCACAGCAGACTGGAGGGCAGCCAACTTTGATCTCTGCTGCCCCCCGTCCTGACACAGGAAAGGCAACAGACATCTCAGTCGCCATGGAAACCTCTTCGATACTTAGCTGGAGAGGCAGCTCTGTGTCCTCCCTCCCCACCTGCTTGCTAATGACACATCACTCTGTTCAGCATCTTTGTTGGGCTATCAATTGACACAACGCAGTGAGGCCTAATTTGAGTTAGCGGATTGTTTGCTCACACAGAGGAAAAGGTGAACAGTGGAGAGCTCGTTTCACCCAAGAGGTAACTAATGACTCGTCCCATCATTTCTCTGAGGAAGCCCTGAGCAGTAATCGACCAATAATGAGATGTGATGTTAGCTGTACGTACATGCAGATTCTGAAAATAAACACTGTGCTTTTAGGTCATCGCTCTCTCACTCTGTACCACTTTTCACAATGAGACAACCACTAGGAATATTTACATACAAGATTTACAATATTTACACAGGTGAAAAGAGCCTAAAATGATGTTGTCATATTGTAGTTTTAAACCTAATAATATTATTGCTAAATATTGTATATATATTTTAATCATCTAAAAATGGGAAAGAGCTGTAAATCTTCACATTTGAGAAGCAGAAACAAGCTAATTAACTGTTGCTTTGACGAATGACTTGAACAATGACTAAATGTTTCAGCACTAAAGCAATCAAAGACTTGGTTACAGAGTGGGCCTTTAGAAAACGGTCCTTTTAACCTTTTAGTTCAGGACTAAAGGCAGTAACAATTAGCAAGCACTTTGGTGACACTGCATCAAACAGTCTATGTAAAGTACCTATTACCACATCCAAATTTTTTTTAGAAAAGATAAGAACCTCTTCTGGATGTGCACTGCATTTCCACTGTTGCACAGCTGCTGAATAAACTGAGACACTCATTAATACAAGATGACAAATTCTTTGCAACCTGTCTGAAAAGGTAAAGTGAGGGTACACTGCCATCTGCTGGAGCATGAACCTCATCACATATGAAAACCAGCCCACTTTGGTAAACAATCAGTGCCAAAAATGCTGAACTGAGCAATTCACTGGTTCACAAAAAGCCACAGTCTGATTTTCACCAAATGTGATCAACTGTTTAGATCACTGTTGAGTTCAGGCAAGCAGCAAACGGGCTGGTGTCTGATATAGTTTTCCAGCAATGAAGTTTGATTATGGCTCCTTCTACTCACTGACACGTTCAGAATCTATGAATATGTAAAGATGCCGTATTTGTGTGGACACAAGATGTGTGTTAATCACTGACGGTCCCATTCTCAGTGTAGCTGCACTAGAGGCTTCCACATCACACTAAGCTGCATATTGGATCATGAGTGGCTTTCACAGAACTGCTGCTACTCATAGCAAGTAACACACCTTGGGACTCAGATTTAAGGTGTGCATAGAGCAGCTTTCCTGATTCAGCAGATTTATGTCAAACTAGTCTTCTGGTGCACACAGACACATCAATCAGCACAGCAAAGCACAAAAATGCAAGGGAAGTGACAATGAGCAGAACGCATTTTGGAAGGGACACCACACAACAGCTTTTCATTTGAGGAAAAACCACCTTCTTTTCAGCAGTACCACATGAACTAAACAAAAAGGGATAGCTAGCAGAGTGAGGGCAACTTGACAATGGACGCTTTTACGGCAGGGGGTTTTAACATTTAAAAGGTTTCACTTGAATATTCATAAATACATTTGGATATCTAAAAAGGCATTTTGACTAGTCAAAATTACAATGTGACTGGTCAAAATGATAATTCAGGATATCTACAATTGTATCCTGACCAGTAAGAATGGCAGTTTCAGATATTTAAAATTAATTTCGACTAGTTATTTTTGGATATCTGAAAAGACATCATTGCACCGTTTTAGCATTGATTAGATAATTGAAGATATCCGTAATTACATTTTGACTAGTAAGAATTCCTCATTGACTTGAATGGGAAAATTAATTTAAGGTATTTACAATTCAATTCTGCCTATCCAAAATGTAAATTCCAGATATCGGTAATTACAACCTAACTAGTCAAAATTCAAATTAAAGATACCTTTAATGTAATTTTGACTAGTAATAATTCCAATTACGGTTATTTTAAATTTGCCACAACTGAAACATATCCAAAATATCTTTTATGATGTCTCAAACTAAGACATGACTAGTCGAAATTCAATTGTTAATTAATCTGATACTGGAGTTACTAGTCAAAATGTAATTGCAGATACCTGTAATTATAGTTTTGACTAGTCATAAATACATTTTAGGTGTCTGTAATATGAATTCTGTTGATCTAATAAATGCTAGCGCAGCGCGGTGACGTCATTTAGGGGGATGTCCTAAATCACGTGACTGCTGGGATTGCGGATATCCACAGTGGAACTGTAGATATCTTGAATCGTCATTCTTACTTGTAAAAACTCAAATGTAAATACCTAAATTGCAATTATGGATAGTCACTATAAAACTTTGTTAAGGCGTCCTTGAAGACCTTTACAAGATATCTATAATATCTTTGTAGGTATTTTAAAAGCAATTATAACTAGTCAAAATTGAGATTTAAGATATCTACACTAAAGTTTTAATTTGTCTAAACTCAAATTCCAAATATCTACAATTTTAATTTTGACTAGTCATATATTAGTTTGAGACATCCAAAAAGATCATTTAGATATCTTTTAAATGTACCAGATTAAAAATATCTCGAATTGGAATTATGACGAGTCACAATGCCATTAAAGATATCTTTAATTTGAATTTTGACTAGTCAGAATGTAATGACAGATACCTGGAATTCGTGTCTCGGAAAGGCAGAATTGAATTGTAGATACCTTAAATCAGTTTGCCCATTCAATTCAATGAGGATTTCTTACTAGTCAAAATGTAATTGCAGATATCTTTAATTCGAATTTTGTCTTAAATTTTAATTGCTGATATCTTAAATTATAGTTTTGACTAGTCATAAATACAATGCAGATATCTTAAATATAAGTCCTGTCCACCTATTTAATTTTAAAAGGACTTGCCATGGGCTTTTATTTAACTGGAAACGCAAAGTAGGTTCACGGCTGTTTCTCATCACACTAACGTTAATGCGAAGTTAAAACACACACGGGGACTTTCTTTAAAACATGTATGCGGGAAAAATTTAACCCTACTCTGCTGGAAATGATTGACACTTATCGAAATCTGGAAGTCCACTTCCCCAGTGCTCCTCTGCTAATAACAGCACAGTTCACTTTACACAGAGGGCATCATAATACGCTGTTAGGTAGCCTTCCTACCTGCCTCTCCTGAGTGATGAACAAACGGCGAGACGGTACTCAGGATGTTTCACATTCAAAAAGAAACACACTGAGCGTCTCTAACACCAGTCTCTCAAATTTGTAATCCCCCAGCAGCTGCAGTCAGGCCAACATGTGCTGCTTTTGCAATAAAGGTGCCTCTTTCTTCTGAAATACAGACACTTAATCCGCATGTAGGTAGAACTGTAAATATTAGAGGAAAGAGCTGTCACTCTGCTGCAATTTCCGTGTACTAAATAATTCACAATGAATACAGGCGGGAAATACAGCTGGAGACACGTGGTACTATGTTTCCGCTGTCCAACTCCAGTGTCATTCAAATGACAATGGGTGGCTAGTGGGAACTATGAACGTAAGGAAAAAATACACTCACTTTCCAATTTATTAGGTACGACTAGCTAAAAACTACTGCAGCCTAATACAGGAGTACTGCAATAAGATCAAGATCAAACATCAAATATTTTTATTGTCAATTCACTGTATGTGCAGGACATACAGAAAATCAAAATGCCCTTTCTCTCTCACCTAGTATTGAATGCCATACCATTTAGGAAACTAAAATATTGCCAGTCTACTCTGTGACTTGACACGTCTCTGTAAAAGAGATGATCTTTGGTTTATGCAATACGTCACTTCCGCTTTTCAGCGGATGTATTTGGATCCCGCCAAAGTTACAGCTCTGTTTAATATGATTGTTTTAACATTTATCTTTTCATTTATTTACATACATTACTATACTTTGGGTTAATTTCCAAATGTGGTCTCCAAACAGCAACTGATATTTTTCATGCTATTATTACCAAAAATTTAAAAATAATTTCCGAATTTAAAAAAAATCTTCCGTTTAATGCGTGCCAAATTTCAAAGACCGAACTAAAATACTTAACCATGATCGTAATCGCAAACGTGTTTTTGTAAATGCAACCAGCAGCTGGAGCTGCAGTCTACGGGCGGTGTGTAGACTGTGCGTGCTTTTATGGGTGGAGACTGAGGTCCTCCAAAACATACATATTACAGAGCCAGCTTCATCATGAGCAGCAATATTATCACAGGCCTTGTTAGGACCTGAAAATTATTTTTGATCAGTTGGTTTTAAGTCCTTCACATACCGTGAAGTACATAGGATCCGTTTGCTAACGTTACAAAGCCAGGTAAGTGCCGAATTAGCTGACTGGAGTTCAGTTTGTACACTGAGAGTCTGCCATGAGAACTTCTACTGAACCACTAACGTTATTTACGAAAGCCGATGCAAACCAGCTTCAGGGCAACCCACCCTCATCGTGACTGTTGATATCAGCGGGACATATCTGCAGATAAAATACCGATAAACGTCAATGGGTTATGGTTAAAAACGTTAAAGTGGTATCTTGTGTATTGGCAGTGGCGTATCCTTCTAACCAGAAGAGTCAATTAATAAGCTGCGTATGACGTTGAGTCTAAAAACTACACAGGAGTGATAATCTGAAATCAATTTAATTCTGGTTTTAAATTTGAGAGTGCACCAAATTTGGCAAGTTAGTGTACGAAGCCTCGACAACTTTTAAAGCTTGAGTCCGCGGCTAAGTTGAACATTACCGCCACCGCAAGCTAACTAGCACAAGTTAGCTCTTTAGCCAACTGCTTCTCTCAGTCATATGCAGTATTTACTATGTAACCTGAGGAACACGGAGCAATAACGTTGTTTACCCTTCAATAAATTGCCACCACCGCTGCCAAAGCCTTCCTATGAAGTAACAGGATGTTCCCTTTGTTTAGCGTTAACGACGCCTTCGTTTCAGCAGACTTAAGCATTAAGCATAAACATTATTGCCAAGTATGATATATAAAAAAATATAAGGAATTTGACTCCAGGCCAATGCCCCCCCACCCCCACACCACCCCCCGATGTGCAAAACAATAAAACATAATTACAAGATGAAAAACCACACATCTCATTTTAATGAATCCAAAACAACATCACATCACACAACATACACGAAAACAAAACAGTTTGCGACGAGACCTTAAGGTTTCAAACTTAACCAGCTCGGATTAAATTCCGCGTTCAAAACCTTAGTGATAGTGATCATTTCTGTTTTGCTGTATCAGTTGTATTAAGTCCATACCTTGTGTATTTTAACCTGCCCTGCAGCTCTGTTACAGAGCATGAACAGGTCTGCCTTGTTTTAGGATCAGCAGCACACCCAAAGCAAGCCTCTTGCCCATTCCTTACACTTAGTCAAGCCTTTCTCTGTGGACTCTCATCTAAAACACATTGTCGCTTTGGAATAAATGCATTTAATAACATATAGGCTACACCCTCCTACATGAGAGCTAGACTCAAATTTTGAAATAAAGTTTAGTCGTTTTAGTCATTTTGTATCTCTGTGATCATTTTGTTGCTTTGCCTGTGTGGTCATTGTGCCTCTTGTTTTAATCATTTTGCATCCACTGTTTTTGGTCTTTTTAATTTTAGTTATTTTTGCTGCTCCTTTTTTTTTATTAATTTTGCTGCTCTGTGGTTTTGTCTGTGCTTATTTGTTTTTATTTCTGAGGTTGCCTTTGTGCTAATTTTGCTTCCCATTGTGGTTGTACTGCAGTTATTTTTACTCTTTTTTTGCATGTATTTGTTGTTACTTTCCAAGGACAAATATTAAAAATCACTACAAACAGAAACCCCTTAACCCTTTGGCCCCTGGGCGTGTGTCAAATAGGCCCGTTCAGTAATCCATCAATGCATCTGCAGTGTGTAACCTAAGAACTGAAAAGCTGATGACTTTCTGCTGTTGCCATCTTAACATAGAAGAGAGGAATAACCACAAAGACGTATGTAACAAGCACAGGTCTTTGCAGAAGCATCATTGTTAGAATATTTAGGTTCATTATGCATCATAGTCTCTTTTGGTAATTGTGTCAGTTCTTTTCCTAGAGAGATGAGCCAGGAGGAGCAGGTATCCGAGGATAAGCCTGCATACCTCAAAGATGAGCCAGGAGATACAGGTGTGTTTACTAGCAAAGGTTTTTTTTCTTCTCAGGGAGACATTTCTGTTTGTTCATGCCACAGTTTTTCAATTAATTTCCTAGATGTGGGACAAACTATGTAGCATAGTGTTTATGCAGAAATTAGCTACAGTCTCGCCAGATTCAAACCCAGAACCTGCTTCCTGTGAGGTGACAGTGCTAAGCACTGCGCCGCCATGTTGTAGCACACCAAACATAGACAGGGGTAGAGAGTTTTATTTTCTTTCTGTTCTTGAACCAGCGAGGGTCAGCATTTTAAACACCTAGGCCACCAGGAGGTCCAATCATGTAATTTTGCTTAATTTTTAACACTTTTCTGACATTTAATAGACTAAATGATTAATCACTTAGCCTAAGTATAATTGTTCATTGTTTGTATTGGGTAGCATTCTTTTGTTAGCTGTCGTACCACCTGTTAACAATGGCAGTGAGGTTGAATCTTAAAATGTAACTTTTGTTGTTTTAAATCAGACAACAACAAGGACCACCCTGAGACACAGTCAGGCATGTTGGGCAGGCTGGCGGGTGGCTTATATGGTGCCACCAAGGGAGCTTTAGGAATGACGGTGGGCGGCGTGACCTGGATCGGAGGAAGGAGCCTAGACCTCACCAAGACTGCTGTCACCTCTGTAGCTGCTGTGCCTGCGATGGGAGTGGGGCTGGTTAAAGGAGGAGTGTCTGCTGTAGCTGGAGGAGTGTCTGCTGTAGCTGGAGGAGTGTCTGCTGTCGGTTCTGCAGTAGTCAGTAAAGTTCCCATAGGTGGAAGCAAAAAGAAAGACAAGTCTGATTGACAGTCTTTGCTTTGTTCTTTTCCTTTAGTATTTGTTTTGGGGGGAGTTTGCATGTGTGTGTTTTTTGTTTGTTTATGAAGATTTTTTTTTTTTAATGATTGCTGGTAAACCGGCATTCATTCGTTTATGTGGCAAGGACCAGCAAAGCAAGAACTAACAAAGGCTTTTCAGCTTTTGTCGTGGTCCTGAAATTGTTCAGATAAAATGCCCATGCTTCATTTTTGATTATGTTTTCGCTCTAAACTTGTAGATTTGTCACATTTAACTTGTCCACCAGAGTTCAGTGTGATTGCACATAAATTTAACTTGCAAGACAATCTGATGAACAGTGATGTGACATAACTGACATCTACACATTTCTTGGGGACTGGAAATATTTCACTGTCAACTTTAAATGGATCTGGAAATATGTACAGTATGATTAAATCGCCTTCCTGTTCAGACGTCACGTGTGTTCACACACACAAACAGACGAGTCTTATCAAAGATGTGGTTTGAAAAGTACAGTCCAGTTTCATATTTAAATCTCTTACTGACTATTGAAATTCTGTGACCGTTTCAGTTTTCCTCTGAATTCATATCACCCTTTGGTGGCTAAATTCTCAGCTCAGTGAAAAACAGCTCATATTTTTGATACAGAATCGACTTTATTACAATAAATATTGTCAATATAAATGGCAGAGTCTTTTGACTGTGATGAATTTAATTTCCAGTTTTAGTGATAACTGAATCACTGTGACTGTACTAGTTAAGTCTAAGTTTATTGAGTCATATTTTGTACATTACACTCCTTTTGGCCAGCTGTATATTTTTGATAGTTACTGTGACATGTTGGTCAATATTGTTCTTAGTATGTTGTCATGCCTCCTTGGAAAAATAAAGCTGCCGCTTTGGGCACAGAACCTTCATAACACCATATGTGTTTTTCGTGCTCTATTGTGCTTAAGTCACTGTGTTAATGCTCACATGAGCATCCTGGTGCAGGTGTGCACACAGCTGTACTACAGTGAATGTACAGTGTTAGCAAAGCAATACGAGCATTTTGTTGCAGCAGTGTTTTATCTTTAGATCTATTCGTTACCTGTTCCTTCAGTGGCTGTAGTGAGCTGGGGTCTACAAAAGTAAACATTTTGAAAATGAAGCGCCTGAAGTGACTTGTGTAGACAACATGACCTGATGGGGTCACTGGAACCAGTGAGGACAAGTAGCAATCATCCCTGACTTCTATTTAGAAGTCAGTATTTAGCATTAATTTCCCTATTCACTATTCCTTGTGAACAGACGTGACAGAAGTGTAATCTCAGCTGGGCCCCCTGGCTGAGGCTTGTAGTTGTCCAGCAGCGACCAAAGATTAGGACAAGGTTGGGATCTGTCTTTCCCATGAGTTGAACCTCCACATAGACGGGGTCCCTCAGTACTTTGGTCACAGGATAGTCTGCCTCCGTGTAGAAAGAGTTGTAGGCCACATCCACTGTGACAGCAGAGTTATCAATTAATATGACAGCCAACATTATGATCTACAAACCTTTGAATGGTACCGACTGTGTAATGGTACTACTTCTGCAACAGAAATGCTGTGATACCTACAGTACAGTGGAAGCGTAATTTGAAAGGAGAAAACTGGCATAATGTTGCTTATTAAGAGCTTTTGTTTCAGTGCTGTAAAGCTTTAAAAAAAAAAAAACTACTCACAATGGCTTTTCCTGGTGATGGCTCCAAGGGGCACCACTCCGACCTCATGTCATGAGGACGTCCTGTTCTCATAGATTGTAACTCAAGGGCAGAGAGACCTATTCAGTCACTACCACAATATACTGGGCATCCTTGCTGCATTGAACTGTCACTGGTGGCACAAAAATGGACATTGATAGATTAGATATTATTGCCCAAATATAAAAAACAAAAATGACAAACACCTTTTTTTACCAGATTGTTCTTGTAGTGTAATCATGGTTTAATTTTTTGCATCCTGCACTGCTGTTCACAGTACACTATTTCATCCGTGTACTTTAAGGCAACCGCAAGTTTCTTGTCTTTCTTGTCTTTTCAAACACTCGTGGCAAAGATACCTCCATGTGTGATTCTCATATGATCACCTCTTGATTCTGGACAGGAAGCTTCTTTGGTGGACTGAAAATGTAAAGGGAAGGTGTTTATGGGACTGCAGAGCGATAGCCCGTGGCGTTTGAGGACGTGGAAGAACTTTGGAACCTCAGGAGGTGACACACCCTTTGACATCAGGAGTACAGGTTGTGTGTCTCTGTATGTCCTGAGCTACCTCTGGACTAAGCAGTCCAGCAGTGCCAGCGACACAAAAAAGATGCCACTTGAGTGCTTTCCCATTATTTCATACAGTGGTAAAAGTACAAAAGTGTTGGCATCAAAATATATTTAAAATACCCAAAGTGAAAGTACTCATTATATAGTATGGTGCATTTCCTGATGGGACACAAGTTAATGTATATAATGGTATTGGATTATAATTATTGCTGCATTACTGTCATATTTGTAAAGGTGAAACTAATTTTAACTAGAGCAAATATTTGTAATATGAATTACTGCTGGGTAGCTTGATAATTTCCCATTGAGGATCAATATACTCTCATGGTTATACTTTTTTTTTTTCATTTTCTGATTTGGAAAAGTAACTAAAGCTATAAAATAAATGCATTTGAAATGTAGTGAAGCCAAATTATAAAGTAAGCAGAAAATGAAAACACTCAAGTAAAATTCAGCTACCTCAACACTGTACTTAAGCACAGTACTTGAGTAAATTACTTTGGTACCAGACAGTACCCAGGTTTACCACTTTAAATGTGATGAATAAATAGTTTTAAAAATCCCCACCTTTGAGGCAAATAACCACTGGTTAAGGCTTCCCATCTTTCCAAACAAGGCTTTAGCATGCACTGTGAAATGTTTCATACATTATTCAGTTGAATGATTTCATAAGCCTGCTAGCATCTTAACGGGGTCTGTTGTGTGGGTCAGACAAGGTGATGAAAAACATGTCATTTCAGATCAGATGGGTCGGACGACAGTTTGACATTAAAGTATTTACTGACAAATTCAACATTTAGGTCACAAAAACCTCAGACTTTATTTGTCACCAAATGTTTATCTTGCTAGTACACAATGCCGAACATAGAGTATTGATTTTTACTCCAAATCTGTAACAAACTTTGCCATAATGTGCACTTCTTCCTAAACTGGACTGCTCTCTCACTAGAAGTATATTATACAGGACAGACTGTGCATCCCAGTGGGTAAGTAAACAAGATACAAGTAAATACTTTTATACCATAAACCCCCCCAAACAGTACAAAATGCAGTGACAGTTTATTTATAGCAATATTACCCTTGTAAAATGTTTCTGTGTAAGTAGCCCCAAATAGAAATAAGCTACTCAGTTAAAGTACACTGCTGAGCAAAAGTATTTACTTTCTACCACCAGTTATCATCCACCTCTGATCATGTATAGTGACGTGTGGGTATTGTTATTTCTTCCATTGCTCACTTTTTGGGGAGAATCTCCAGGATTTCTTTGTGTTTTTCTCATAATATGATCACCACCACAATATGTCCGTGTTGTCAAAAAAGACTTGTCAGTATTTCAAAGCGAGCTGTGCAGGTGCTGTACATAAATGAGGTTTCTTCTTAGAGTGGAGTTCCCCTATAATAACATGGATCAAATTGTTGTAATGCTAAAGAGGCTGATTTTCCTAAAGATGTTTTCACAGTGGATCCAGAAAACTAATTGCTGCCCCACCTATTGTTTGATCAGTACTTTAAAGGCTCTCCACTCGAATTCAGGGTTTGTTTTTTTGTTTGTTTCAAAGTTAGGCAAGGCAACTTTATTTATATAGCATAATTTCATACACAAAGGCAATTCAAAGTGCTTAACACAATGCACAAGGATAAAATACTAAAAAGCCCACAAAAAACACACAGACAAATACACACACTTATATTTTAAAACCATTGTACTTTAGTTGAGCAAAGCTTTAAGCTGAGATTGTGTGCTATCATTTTGATGGGTAATCAGCAGAGCCTGGCTGAGTTGGTGCTTCACATTTAAACTGAGCATAACTCATCCTCTCACTTTAAGAAGTCTGAACTCCAAAGTTCAGTTTTCCAGGTTCAAACTACCAAAGACAGAAGTTCAAACTTGGCATACTTTGTACTGTGAAAGGCCTGATTTTACAGTGTGGCACAGTATCAGCCAATCAGAGGGTAGGAGCAGGCAATTTCTGTGTTGTCCTTTTTCACTCTAATTGCTAATCAGAATATTATGGAGAATTACAGAAAGAACCATAGTATATGTGTGTTGTGTCATTTATAAGTTGTACTTTAACTTGCCAACAAGCAATATTTGTTATTAGTTAACAAGCTAATGCCAGATATGCGTACATTAGCTCATTACTATGATGCTGCTGTTAAAGTGAGTTAGTAGCAAGCCAAGCCTTACAGAATCATATCTAAAACATGATTTTGCTGGACAGTGTGTCACAGCTCATTTATTAAATGCATCATGCAATAGCTGGGGTAAGGTGGCTTATAGAGAACTATGGGCGTACGCATTATTGAAAACATGATAGCAGATTACAAGATGGCGCCTATTCTTCCCAGTGAAAGTTGTTCACCTGGTTCACGCAGCAAAACATTTTCTCTTCAGCGTTTGCTTCCACATTGTGAGGCCAACTGCACATGTGCATTGGTGTCTCTCTCGCTATCCCCACCCATGTAGCTTAGGTTGATTGGTGACTTGAAATTGCCTGTAGGACTGAGTGTGGTTGTTTGTCTACGTGTCAGCCCTGTGATAGACTAGCGATCTGTCCAGGGTGGACCCCGCCTCTCACCCAGTGTCAGCTGTGTTTGGCTCCAACTATATCTATTGAAAAGTTTTGATTTCGCAAACATTTGTATCATTTGTATAGGCTACACCACCAAATACTGTAATTACACTGTTGTGAGATGAATTTTGAGTTCAAATATTTCATTTTAAACAGAATATTCCAACACCACTCAATTACCGATGGCACAAAAATGAATTAGAGTTCATTTTATTTACATATTATTTTGTATACATCATTATGAACAAAGTGAAGTATTAATATCAACAGCTCATGTTTATGAGAATGTTAGTGATTACACAAAATGTATTAAAAAGTTATGTAATACAGTTTCATTTCACGAAGATTTATGTAACTCTTATTAGCTGTTTTCAAGCAATGTTTTCTACCACATATTCTTGCAACTTGGAATAACCTGGACATAAATACATTTAGGTACTCTTGCAGTCAAATGCATTCTAATCCAATATTATACATACTAACATTGTGAAGCTTAACATACATTTTAAATTACTTTTTTGAGTCTGTGTCAGACACTTTTTTAAAACTGTATTGTTATTTTTAATGCTGCAGTCAGGTGTGAAATTGCACTGAACTGAATTATACTGACAGATGTTTCCAAAATACCTCATTTATAGAAATGAGGGCTGACAAAATCATAAGCACACTTCTAATATAATGCAATTCAGTCCAATGTTACCACTAAATACAGCTTCAATTTACAGCTTGATGACAGTCAACAAATACTGAATATGCAAATATGATTTTTAAGCTAATTATATTATAATGCATAAGATTGTAAAGGTGTGCCAAATTAACTAGTAAGCCAATGTGTTGTGTAAGATGAGCTTATGGAGCACAGAGCCAGTTTTCTTGAACACAGATTTGACTACAGTAATTTGAGGATCCTTGTGTAAAACACTTCTGGCTCTGTCTTTCTGCAGACATTACAAATATGGACATAAGGCTACACTGTAATTTTCATTTCATACCACAAATAACCAAACCATATTAAGCATTTACTAAATATTATTGGCCAAATTCTTGAGCTTATATTTCTATACTGTTTGCTCCTCAGGTGCGTTCATAATCACAAGTCCAGAAGAAACCACAACGTTTGGCTCAGCATCATCTGGGTCCTCAGCTTTGACATGTCTCTCTACACACAAACACACAAACATGGTCAGATTTAAGGGAATATTGCTCCTGAATTCTGCAGATAACAAATTCATCTCTTACTTTTTCTGAAGCATGCTGGCTCACATGAGCGGCCTGGTGCAGGTGTGCACACAGCTGTACTACAGTGAATGTACACCTGAACAATAAAAACAGTGTTAGCAAAGCAAAACAAGCATTTTGTTGCAGCAGTGTTTTATCTTTAGATCTATTTGTTACCTGTTCCTTCAGTGGCTGTAGTGAGCTGGGGTCTACAAAAGTAAACATTTTGAAAATGAAGCGCCTGAAGTGACTTGTGTAGACCACATGAGAGGATGGGGTCACTGGAACCAGTGAGGACAAGTAGCGATCATCCCTGTATGGACACCTAGGTGGACAGCAAACTAGCTTAAGGCAATGGCAGAAAAATTTGAATACATTTAGAAGTTATTATTTAGCATTAATTTCCCTATTCACTATTCCTTGTGAACAGACGTGACAGAAGTGTAAAGCTAGATGCTCTGACATGTCGTCATAAACAGGACAGTGTACATTAACGTTTTGGTTACCCATCTATCAGAATGTCCCACTGGGGCAGAGTATGAGGGCTGGGGCTTGTAGTTGTCCAACAGCGACCAAGGGTTAGGACAAGGTTGGGATCTGTCTTTCCCATGAGTTGAACCTCCACGTAGACGGGGTCCCTCAGTACTTTGGTCACAGGATAGTCTGCCTCCGTGTAGAAAGAGTTGTAGGCCACATCCACTGTGAGAGCAGAGTTATCAGTTAATATGACAGCCAACATTATGAATCTATCTACATTATGATCTACAAACCTAGCAGTGCTGCCAGGGTGACATACACTTACCTTCATTACAACCCTTTGATTGGCACTGACCATTACCCAACCTCAGTTCCACTGTGAGTGGTCCCAGAGCACTAACTAGTGGAGGAGGATCATGCAGTGGTAATACTTCAGCAATCACAGTTTCAACAGAAGTGCCATGGTACCTACACTGGAAGTTTAATCTGAAAGGAGAAAACTGGCATTATATTTCTTAGTCAGAATGTTGATTTAAACATTACAGTTGTCTTTCAAATTTGATCTTTTACTGGTAGTGGCTGTCCCTGGTGATGGCTCCAAGATGCCCGACTCCCACTTCATATGTGGAAGACATGCTGTTCTCATAGATTATAACACCAGACTCCTCCTACAAAAGGCAAAATTAAAACTGGCAGGTGTTATAACAATCTTTCTCACTTATCTTTGTTGGTTGTAAAGTAGAAAATCCAGTTAGTACCTTTACAGTAGAGCCACAGGAAGTAACAGGAAATTGGTAAATTGCAAAGTCTGAATTAGAGTCAGCATATGTACAGTGGGGACCTGTCCCCAGCAGTGCGACTGATTCCAGTTCAAGTCTGGGAAGAGTGGCATCTTTAGCCACCACCACAATGAATTGGGCATCCTTGGTACACTGAACTGTCACTGGTGGCACAAAAACAGGCATTGATAGGTTGAATGATAAGATATCACTTACCAAAGAAAATGTATCAAGATAACCTATTAATTAGGTTACAGCTGTGCAAATATCAAAGGCTGAAATGCTTGTTATGACAATTTACACATGCTGAAATTCACCATGTTCAGTCTTTAGCTTGGCTAAATAAAATCATATACATGAGTACATTAAGGCACATACTGTACAGTAGGTGAGGAAAAGGTTTCACAAGCACTCCATAATATTTTTGAACAAGAAATATAGCAAATACATGACACAAATTACATTGTAGAATAAATACACCTTTTTCTATTGTAATATTCTATGAGGATAATATTACTAATTAAAGATTTTTGTCATCCATTGATGTCACAATGCAGTATTTACTCAGTATAACAAGAAAACTCTATTGCTTTTTGGAAAGCAATAACAGTCAAAAACCCACCTGCCTTTCCAAAGTAGCAGCGATGCCCATCAAAGCAACAGCTAATTGCACTACATTTAGTAGAATCAATAGTAGGACTTCCACATGGGACTTTCTGGTTCTCATCCACATCACAGCTATTCAGAGGAGATGGGACCTGTGGCACTTGAGGAACCTTTCCTGGTGGCTTAGGGGGTGAGACCAGTGGCACTTGAGGGTATTGTGGAACTCTTCCTGGTGGCTGAGGAGGTGAGACCAGTGGCACTTGAGGGTATTGAGGAACTCTTCCTGGTGGCTGAGGAGGTGAGACCTGTGGCACTTGAGGGTATTGTGGAACTCTTCCTGGTGGCTGAGGAGGTGAGACCTGTGGCACTTGAGGGTATTGAGGAACCCTTCCTGGTGGCTGAGGAAGTGGGACCTGTGGCAAAGGAGGGTATTGAGGAACCCTTCCTGGTGGCTGAGGAGGTAAGACCCCTGGCACTTGAGGGAATGGAGGAACCTTTACTGGTGGCCAAGGAGGTGACAGTGGAGGGAACTGAGGAACCTTTACTGGTGGCTGAGGAGGTGAGACCCCTGGCACTGGAGGGAACTGAGGAACCTTTACTGGTGGCTGAGGAGGTGAATCTGGAGGGAACTGAGGAACCTTTCCTGGTGTCCAAGGAGGTGAATCTGGAGGGAACAGAGGAACCTTTCCTGGTGTCCAAGGAGGTGAATCTGGAGGGAACTGAGAAACCTTTCCTGGTGACCAAGGAGGTGAGACCTGTGGCACTGGAGGGAACTGAGGAACCTTTCCTGGCGGCTGAGGAGGTGAGACCTGTGGCACGGGAACCTTTGGTGGAGAAGCATATGGATAACCACTTGCGAGCGGTGGTTCAGGATTCTGCCCAGGTGGCTCCTGAGATTCTATCTTATCCACAACTAAGCAGCTCAGGAGTGTGAGTCCCAGTAAAGTGGTGGCACTCCAGCGCTTTCCCATGTTTTCAAGCAGTTTGACCTGGACAGTTCCCAAGTGTATTACTTATGTGTGCTGCCACATTTATATTTGAGGACTTGACTTGACTCCACCTCTGAGGCCAAATAACCACCAATCAGTGCTCCCCATCTTTCAATAGCCACCTAAAAGCTTCAGGGTACATGATGTAATATTTTCTTCATCATTTAAGTGAATGATCTGATAAACCTTTGGCAACTTCAGTAGCTCATTTTTATGGGTGGGACAAGCAGATGCATCATGTGTCCTATCAGAACATGTGGGCTGGATGACAGCTTGACATTGAAGTATTTATTTGTAAGTCCAACATCTATGTCACAAAAACCTTTTTGAAGGTCTTTGTGGCCTTAAACTTTATTTGTCCACAAATGTTTATTTTGCTAGCACACATTGCACAGGACTTGATTTGGTTGAGTTAGCAGTTTGTCCTATAACAGTCCAAGGTTTGATGGCACTGAGATGGACAAGCCACAAAACAAGGGTCATGTATACTGTGTACTATCCTCAGAATCTGGAACAGAATTTTGCCATACTATGCCAAACTGCACTTCAGTTTACTTGCTATGATAGACTGGTAGTAGAAAGTTTGCACTGAAAGTGTTTGCTTGGGTTGTGCTGAAAATGAGATTACTGAGCTTTACTTACTTTTACTAAATAATGTCTTCACAATGGAAAAACCACAGGCAGCTCATAATGAACAATCTGAGTTTTTGTGCAATAGCTATGACAATAGTTACATTACAGGAACATGTTCAACAATCTCTTTAAATGTTGCAAACCTGCGAGCTATTGGAGGAAGCCCGTCAATAGATACTTACTTGTAGAATAGGTTTACATAGAATTTGGTGTGAAAAGGGTATGTAGGGTAGGTATGTGCAGTAAACTGGAATAAAAAATTACTTGTGTTCTACAAAATCCCAGCATGATAGCAGCTACTCTGACCCACACTTACATGGTCTGTGCAAATGGTCCAAATCTATATTGACTTCACTTATGGCCTTAAAAAAAGTTTTAGCCTGCTTTGTTTCTTCATTAGGCTTCCTCCAACAGTTTCTGTTGTGAAGAAAAACAAGTTCATTTGTTTATAATTGTAATTAAATTCTATATAACGTTTGCTAAGTAGCACTCTGAATGTCAAAGACTCGCTGACTGATAAAGTTAGTGGAATTTGAGCACACTCAAGTAAAAAAATGTCACCCACTGTACTGAGAAATTGTTTATTTGATTCTTTTTAAATTTTATGATAACACCATATGTTCCATATTAAAATGTGGTACTGAAACATCAGCAAACTAAGTAATGTCTATTACACACGAATATTTATTTGAATTTTGCTATCAAGCCAGCATATGCCAGTGGTCATACCAGATTGTGTAAAGCTTGAGCAGCAGAAATCCTGAGAATGTTTAATTAAGTAAGAGTGAATTTGACTAAGTGTTCAGCTTTCATTTGGAAGAGTAATTTTTTTTTCAAACTTGTCTTGCTATGAATGGAAGATCCCCGTAGCTGAACCATAGAATAACAGTCAAAAGTAGACCAAACTAAATGTGTACAATTATTGCTCAATTAATTTATTTTAGAAAATTCAAACGCCTGGAAAATACTTAACCACCATTGTGCATGTTTCTTTGGGCTCTTACCCAAATTTACAGTTTCACTAAGTTTCTTTTGGGGGAGAAAACTGAAGAGTTAACTGAAGAGCTAGAGAGGAGAAACAAATTTTAAAAATCCATGTAATACTTGTGCTTGACCATGTTGTGGAGCTATTTTATTTGTCTCTGTAACAAGCATGCACCTTGCATCAGTGGCAGGATGCACATGTACACACAGTGTTGCAGTTGCTACACTGCTACACTTTAATCTATAGTAAAATTCACGGGCGCCGTTTGGGGGGGGGGGGAAGTTAGGACGATTCTAAGGGCCCACGAACTTTGGGGGCCCACAGATGGGTCCAACTTCAAATTTTTTCATAGGGCCCAAAACTGCTAGTGGCACCCCTGGTAAAATTTATTCATTTAGCCCACTTTAAAAACAAATTGCATTTTCACAGAACTTGTAGCTCCAACATATTGCTGTATTAAAGAGAAATCCCTAAATGACAAAAAGAAAAACACAGATGCCCTTCCTGGCCACTGATTTCCAGCTTTCAGAGGAAATGTGTTTGTTGTTTGTTTGTAATCACACTGACTGTAGCTATAGGCTATATGGCTGTGTAATATAGGCTATATGCTAGGCTATAGGTTGAAAGAGCTTGAGGTTGTAGTTACTTGAGCATTTCCATTTTAGTAATTATTACTAGCCTGCTTCATTTCAAAGGGAAATGTGGGTTTTACTCTAGTACTACGTGTATTTGAGAACTTTTGCACTGGCGATTTAGATTTTACATAAACATTTTAAGACTGTCAACACATTACCTAAGTATGAATAATCGAATAGCAAAATTTTTATTTTTACTTTTGATGCTATATTTTGTCACTACCTGCCTACTTCTACGTGCTATAGCCTTTTTCAGCTAACCTATTAATTTTTAAAACAATATCAACGATCTGAATGCTTATAAAACTGTAACCTCGGGATAAAGTATTTTTAGTTTTTACGTTTACGTTTATTTTGTGGTTGTTTTTACCTTTAAGAAGCTCGACCTACATTTCCCACAATGCCAAGCGGGATGATTCTCTGAGAATCAGTGCGCAGTGGAGCGACAGGACTGCAGTTTGAGGTGGCTTTCTGGCAGGTATGTCCCTATCGTCTACACAGAGCCAGGACACGACCAGCCGGAGGAGGAGGCCGGCTGAAAACACAGAAGGTGGGCGGCCGAAGCTTATAGTTTAGCCCGTAATAATGGAAGAACGTTATTGGTAACAAGATGACGGTGACCTTAACAGCACTGTAAATACATTCTCCATTTTAAATGTCTCTCTGCTATACGACAGATTCCCTACTAATGAATAAAAAAAAAAGCATGGATGAATCTGCTGATTATGTGTTTCTGATTCATCTATTAAATGTAAGAAAACAGTGAAAGTACAGACCACCACAATTTCACAAAGACCAAGCTGATTTCTTCAGATTGCTTGTTTTTTCTAACAAACAGCCCAAATATATTAGATTTACACTAATAGAAAACAGAAGCAAATCACATAATTTGAGAAGATGGTTCAAAGGAATGTTTGACATTTTTGCTTGATACATGGTGTAAATATGATACATGGTGTAAATAACTCAGTTATTGAAACAATTAACCAGTTGATTAATGGAATAACTGTTTCAGCTCTAGTCCAAGTCTAAAATAGGTATGTAGGTAAGTTACCAAGTGTAAGTTCATGAATTATGACCTGAATTTATACATTTATTTGACTTTATGCCTATCCATGTCTAGGTAATGATAAACAAAATAGGGGTGCCATTCATGGTCTAATGCTACCTATGAAAACAGTGGAGTTTTGTATTTAATCCTTTGGTCATGTAAGATTGTAGATTCATTATGAACCTTCTGGTCTTCCTCTTCTACACCAAAGAACAATGCTGTAAGTAGTGAATTAAACTATTGTTGTCAAACAGTCAAACACAACACAATCACTAGCACTTGGTAACTTTTGTACTTTTGCATATTTCAGGAGCACTAATTCAGAAAGAGGAAACAAAACAAATCTCTACCTAAAAGTGTGTATAGACTGTTTTAGATTATGAAAAAGGAAGTCGTTTAAGACCGAGCTCGCTTTTCTTATGATGTCAGTGTCACTATTTGGTCATTCATCATGGCTGTGTCTTGTAAGAGATAAGCCCTGGGGAAAAACATTTAATTTAGTGGCCTACATTAAGGCGCTATTTGCCCGTAACCTAATTGCAGTTATGCCCGTGGTTTTCCTGCAGAACAAATCCAGCTGTTGTCAGGCTTTCAGAGGCAGTTCAGAGATACACTGCTATTCAGTGATTCACTCACCACAGCCTTGTATTTTCATACCCCATTTCCTTTTTGTGTGTTTTTGCTTTATGTTAGCTGTAGTGTTTAGTATTTGTCACTGCAGTGTTAAAAGTAAGTGTGTGATTCGGTTACTTGTTACTCAGGCACTTCACCTGAAAAGATCTGTACCTGGAAAATGATTAATACTATTACTAATCATAGCTCTAACTGACCTCTCTTGTGTGGCCAAGGGTTATTTCCTGTTATTTTACATATTCTCATAAAGAGATATCTTGCTGAATGAATATTTCTATATGTGAGTTATGGAGAGTGATTCCTCCTTTAAATCATTTGAGCTTCACAAATTCCTACATTCCTTTTGTTGATCACAAGACCATACTTTTAAACTGTATTCTGAGCAAAACTTGTAGCTTAATGTCCACAGATACTTTCCATCCCCTACACTGGCTCTGTACTGCAAAGAACTGCAGTGTGTACCTGACACCAGCAACAAGTCAGTGCATTGGGACATTTGCAAGGCAAAGCCTTGTTTGATACTAGTGAAGCAGTTTGCAGTCTTTTTTCAAATGTATCTTTTATCTTCCTTATAAATGTTTGAATGAAAACTGTGCATAAATTCTGCAGATAAAACTTTCATCATGTAGACAAAATTGTTGACTGCGTGACTGAGCAACAATCTCAAAAATCACAATTTTGGCTCCTTTTTAATATGTTAATAACCTGTAAAAGTCATTGTCCAGTCACTGCTGTTCCAAAACAGTGGATTTAAATAGATGACCTGATGATTAAACATACCATCATGCTATGCTACTGAATTTACCACAAATGATGAAATGTGACTGCTTTGCCAATGGACATGTAGTAAAATAAGTCGGTTCAGGAGGACTATGTAGAGTACTGCCTGTAATAATGATATTTCAGCTACTTACTTTGTAACTATATAAAACATCACTTTGTTATCTTAGAGTAGTTTATTTCTTGTTTGTTGTTGCAGATCCACCATGGGAGCCTGATCCCCAGGCAGGTTACGGACATGAACAGATCCATGACCAACTGTGTGGAGGTCAACAGTTTAATTCCACAGACAGCTGCGCTCCATCTACACATCACTCTGTGTGTCCTGCACTGTGCACGACAACATGCATGTCTGCACACACATGTGAGTACCAAACACCAAGGCATTTAAAATTTTTTAACAAAAAATGTATTTTTCTAATGCATTTGTCATCTTGTTGCTTGTCACTAGGTGTGAGCCATATCGCTTGTGATAACAGCTGGGAGGAGATTCAAAACAAGAGAACCATCAGAGCAGAGAACGAAGTGGAAGCCAACAAAGTGGTGAACAACTACAGGGTAAGAAGGTTTTCCACTGCAAATAAAAGTTCTTTGAGTTGAGCAAAGTTGGCAAACTTAATATTTGATGCTTTTGTCTGTGTGTGTTAGTTTGGTTTTAGAAAGTGGAAGAGCCACGTGACAGAGCGTCCGTTCGAAGACAGGTCAGAGGTCGTGAAAGAGCTCTACTCTGAACTGAACCTCATTAAACCGCATTCAGGTCCAGGTACAGGTTTTTGCCCTGCTGTAGTGTGTAAGCTTTGTGTTGATGGATAATCCCAGTTTGCTACAACTTGGGCCTTATTTTTGTAGATGTAGTTTGCATTGGACTCACCAAATAATTGTTGAGATCTGAGAAGACTATAACATACAGGAGGTACAGTGCCTTGCGAAAGTATTCGGCCCCCTTGAACTTTGCGACCTTTTGCCACATTTCAGGCTTCAAACATAAAGATATAAAACTGTAATTTTTTGTGAAGAATCAACAACAAGTGGGACACAATCATGAAGTGGAACGAAATTTATTGGATATTTCAAACGTTTTTAACAAATAAAAAACTGAAAAATTGGGCGTGCAAAATTATTCAGCCCCCTTAAGTTAATACTTTGTAGCGGCCAACACAAACTAGACTTTTTCAGTAATTTGTTGCTTTGCTTTCCTTCATCAAAAGGACCTAAACAATTGTTAACCTCAGCTCGAAAATGATTTTCAGAACTCAAAGATCTCCGGTACAGCCTAACACTAAACAATTCCTCATGATCTGCCTCTGCAGGGGTACTAATGCCATCGGAGCCACACTGTATAAAACAAATACATGAAACGATCGATTTAATTCATGTAGACTGATGAATGCACTTTTGACTGTTTTGGCATTTTGTGATGTGACTTTGTGGTGTTGGGTGCCTTTAATCCTTGTGTATTTCATCTCACTCCAACAGTGTGTGAATACATTTTATATACTTCTGTTTGCAGGAGTGTGTGTGTGTGACAGACAAATAACATATGTACAATAGGTCAGAACAAAACTATCTGCCCAGTTAATGTAATTGTAATATGATCGTTAAATTGGCTCATGGATAGATGTTAAAACGAACCACCCTGTTGTTTATCTGTATTCAATGGCCCGTGAGTCAAAATTCACACCTAAAGTCATTCAAATGAATCATCATTAGCGTGGAAGGAAAATACTTAAACAAGTCTCACTCATCCACTAACATGAATTAGCGAATTGCGTGTTTGCTTAACTGCAACTAACAAAACGAGGATGTAGGTAAATATTGAAATTCCCTTCGATTGGTGGCCAGTCTGTAAAGCACCGGGTGAGCAGGCGCTCCCTATTGATGAGCTTCAGCTAATCCATCGCATTTCCCTGTAAATAGCTTTCTGCATGAGAAAGAGACCCCCCCCCCCCCCCCAAGATGGATGGAGCCAAATACAGGACCATTCTGGATGGAAACCTGATGGAGTCTGCAAAAGACCTGAGACTGGGATGGAGATTTGTCTTCCAACAAGACAATGATTCAAAACATAAAGCAAAATCTACAATGGAATGGTTCACAAATAAACATATCCAGGTGTTAGAATGGCCAAGTCAAAGTCCAGACCTGAATCCAATCGAGAATTTGTGGAAAGAACTGAAAACTGCTGTTCACAAATGCTCTCCATCCAACCTCACTGAGCTCGAGCTGTTTTGCAAGGAGGCATGGGCAAAAATTTCAGTCTCTCGATGTGCAAAACTGATAGAGACATACCCCAAGCGACTTACAGCTGTAATCGCAGCAAAAGGTGGCGCTACAAAGTATTAACTTAAGGGGGCTGAATAAATTTTGCACGCCCAATTTTTTAGTTTTTTATTTGTTAAAAAAGTTTGAAATATCCAATAAATTTCGTTCCACTTCATGATTGTGTCCCACTTGTTGTTGATTCTTCACAAAAAATTACAGTTTTATATCTTTATGTTTGAAGCCTGAAATGTGGCAAAAGGTCGCAAAGTTCAAGGGGGCCGAATACTTTCGCAAGGCACTGTAGTACTGTGTCTGATGGGGCCTATCATTCAGGCTGTATACAAGCCAGCAGTCCAGCTACATTCCTAAACTCTCTATTTACGAGTACCCCAGAAGGCAATGGAGCTGAAAATGTCACAAACAATCCCCTTTTTACCAAAAAAAAAGACTGTCCCAATCAGGGAAAGTATATACAGTAGGTCTTAGTTGAGCCAAGAAGTCGTCTGTAAACTGTGATAGGTGTTTACAATAGTTTGCATAATAATTTGTGCCTTTGTTTTGTTCTCTATGTAATATTGGCTAACCTGGTTACTTGTTTTGAACTTGTCTGATCATCTAACCACCTGTGTTTCTCATTAAAGTCTCATTAAAACTGGTCAAAACTACAAAAATAAGATCCAAGTTGTAATAAACCAGCATTAGCCTGTATATGTAAATAATGGATGTAAATCTTTTGGATTCAGCTGATAGAGAACATGTCAGTCTTGTATTAATGTTTCTGTCTGTTTGCCTTGCTGGTGTCAGGTCATTTCATCACATGTGGAAATGTGGTATATGTGCTTCTCTTTGGTTGGTGGGTCTCTCTGACGTACTTCCTGGTCGGCATGCTTATGTTCATCACCATCACTGGTGTACCGTATGGTAGGTGAGCTAATCAGCTGAAGACATTGATAATGGTCATTGATGATGGGGTCAGATTTGTTGACATTCATTTATTGTTTCTCTGTTAAGGAAAACTTTGCTGGAAGTTGTCCTACTACTTCTTATGGCCATTCGGCAAGTCAATCCACAAGGTACCGTTTGGATCGGAGCTGAGTTAGTGTTTGAGACATTCCTCCTGTTGTCACGTTTCCTTTTTCTGCTAACTGAAATAAGGCAGATGCGTAGTAAATCATGTAGGTTCCTCATTGTCTCTCAATGACATGTGGTCATAAAAGCAGAAATTTTGTCTTTCTGAATAAAACTACAAGTCTGCAACACTGCAGGCCATCTGCAGCGACTTGTTATTACGATATATTTGTGAAGACACTTCAAACACAGTTGAACAAATTCATATAAATATTCTTTGGCCCAATTAAGTTTTTTTTTATTTAAATTATGAAGTAAAAATGAACATAAGAATATTTAGTTTACTGTTTTTTTTAACTTTATTTCCCCATTTTACATGAAAGGGACTTTGTTATTACTCCAAAAGCTGCTGAAGAATCCCAAGAGAAACACACTAACAATAACAAACAGGTTTTTTTTTCGTTTTCAGCTCCTCAGTGATGGCATATAGAGCTGTGATCAGGTCTTTAGTGTCTGAAACACTTCTCCTTTAAACCAAAAAGGAATGTGGCATAGCAGAATCATTGCAGGTGTGTTTGTCATCTTACTTACAGTTTAGCCTCCTTATTAGAGGTTGAGTAGAGGTGGAGGTTCCTATTTGATGAGGCCAACAGAACCACACCATCTGCAACAAGCAGAGAAGTGATTCTAAGGTCCCCAAACCAGACACTGTCCTCCCCCCAGCCGTGCCTACAGCAGCATTCACATTAAGGGCTTCTAAACTTTGTGAGGACCCTGCCATCACTTCAAACTGTGTCCTAACATTCCTTTATTGTTCTCTATGAACATACTTCTCTGTTGGTTTCTTAACTTGGTTTTTTTTAATGCCTTGTTTATTTTATTTTCTACCTCCTCTGCTTACTATTTCATTTTGTTGTTCTGTTCTTTTATTTTGTAAATAACTTATATAAGTGCTACATGAAGTGCATTGTTGTGGTTTTTTTGCTACAGAGTATTAGAACAACTGAAATATGTCATAAAATAGATGGTTATCTCATGAGCCAGAAATTACACTTTACTCTGGTTGTGTTTCTCCAGATTGGAAACACACTGAGGAGATGCTGTGATCAAGCACCAGATTGTGAGTGCGACACAGATAGGGTGGAGGATGACTCTCCAGTTCTGCTGCCTTCACCCACAGAGGTGCTAGGACAACCTGTGCGCACTTCCTACTGGGTAACTTTACACACTTAAAGAAATACATGGGCACCATCGTAACCATGATTAGCTGATTTGTGCTGCATGGAAATCAAGCAAGGACATCATAACCCTGTGTTCCCTTCTTGGTGTGTAGTGTTGTTTCTCTACCTATGTGTGGCTGCTGCTGGGATATCCACCTCTGGTGCTCATCCACTCCCTGGCCTGCTTCTTCTCCTGGATCCTCATTTTCACCATCCCTGTTTCCAAAATGAACGCACGGACTCTGGGCGTCATTCTTCTCTTGCCTCCTGAGGACGTTTTTGTTTCCACCTGCTCAGAGCGGAAGGTAAGGGAGATAATTAGCATTAATCAGCCAGAACACACAAACCCAGAGAGACTGACTATGTGATGCTCATGCACCAGTTTTCTTATCTTGTCCCCCACCTGTAGAATTGATTTGATTTGATTTTTTGATTTGATTTATTCTTTCAAGCATGTAAAGACAGTTGATATGTCAACACACATAATTTTACACATATCCAACAAATGCTAATCCAATATCAATTTGCTTATACCTAGTACATGCTTGAATGGAGTAGGAAGAAGTCAGACTTATCCAGTCCTACCCCATGACATCATCTTACATCATTGGTTTGCAAGCAGTATCTCTACATAGATAATTCTCTTCTACACCACACAAGTAATATACTAAAAAAATAT